GCGTATACTTGCATAGCTAGGAGGTATCTGACCCCGTAGTCCTTATGTAAACAAGCTTACATGACCTGTGCTATTTTTCATGTCTTGGAGCCTATGTCTACAGACTCTGCCTATGAGAAATGAAATGTTCTAGTATAGAAGAGCCCATGCCAGAACTAGGGTTCCAGCCTCCTTGCCACTCTGGTTCTGGGACCAGGAGCTGGGTAAGGGTGACCCAAGGGAGTTTGAGGGAATGAATATACAGGAGAAGGGTTCATGCCAGCATCTCTGTCATGGAGAGGAGACATACATCTCGTGCTCCTTCAAGTATGTACAAAAACCATAAAAGTGAGTATATATTTAATGTCTAGCTAGGCTCTAAGCTCTAGAGACCAGAGCTGCCTCTTGGCAAGAGGGGTAAGAAATGGTTGTTACCAAAAAGAAGAAGCACACAGAGCTTTGGGAAGTCTTCACTTGGTTCAGATGTGCACTCGCAAGTTGTTTGAGAAGGATGTATCTATTGTAAGGGATACAGAGATTTGAGGCACTGGGGCTGACACATACTAGCTTCTAAGTGCTTGATGAACTAAATTTAAGGGCTCACACAGCTCCCACTCCCTCAAAGGCCATGACAATGTTAATCTCTGTTGCCACCTGCAGCTGAAAGGCCACACTGCAGGCTCCCAGAGGCAGAAAAGGGCTCAGGGATGGCGCCAGCCCCTGACTGCTTGGGGTCTGCGCTCTTTGGAGGGAAGACTGGAGTTTGCTGTGAGGTAGATAGAAATACTTTTTGTTTTGGTAGAGCCCTTTTAGTTATGCAAATGTAAAATACAACCGGAAATAAAGACAAATAACATGAATGCAGTGCTTAGTTCAAAGACGTTTACTTTAATGTTTATATTCTTTACTTTTATTTCTGTCTGGCTCATTTATGACATGATGTGCATTTTAGAGAATTATATCCAGGGAAATTTAGTATCCATTAGAGTTTTCTTCACTGGTACTTTTCCCTCCCTAAATCTGGATTTGGACTTCCCTGGACCATGGAATTTTGCATGTGGAGTTTTGAGCAGTTGCTCATAGCAGGGGCTATAGCAATGCAGGGCATATGATCGAAGGTGAAAATCTGGATCAAAGGGACGTGGGGATAGATTTTGAATCCTGGCTGGAATGGCTCCAGACACACAGGTTATAGGAGACACTGAACAGACTGCCCTTCTGTGTAAAGCTGTTCTATACCTTCCTCCATGACTCAATTGCTACCAATGTCTGGGGCCTCTTATGAACACATACATGGCATGCATGCACATCCAAGCACTCATGTGCACACACAGCACACGCATGCTCCACACATGCACCCCCAGCCTCACCCCCTCCCCGGTGCTCAGCCTGACTGAGAGAGGCTCAGGGCTCCAACAGCGTGGTTATCTGTCTCCAGACCTTCCAGTTCACCCTGAGATGCAAACAGTGGATAAGAACTATGGGTGCGCCTCTCCCTCACATTCATGTAATAATAATTCTCATGACCTAGTTGTGGAGTAAAGACTTTGGTGTGGTCTCCAGGAAAAAAAAAAATTTAAGGGACAAGCCTGAGGATGTGGGGGAAGTATATTCTTGGCATCCCTGAACTGTACATGTCAGAAGCTGCCTCCATTTCATGCTTTTAAGTCCCCAGAGCCAGAACATTCCACTATTTCTACTAGAGTCCTGCAGAATTCGAATGTAAGGCCCCCCAAAGTGCTGTTTGAAGTGTTTCATAAAAAGCAATCAATAAACGTTAGCTTTTATACATAGGGTCTGATCTTCCCACCTGTATCATGTGTCCTGAAGTGTAGGAACTATGCCTTCTAAGTCTTTGTGTCCTCTCCGTCTTCCAAACACTAATACAAAACTGGTATATATTAGATGCTTGCCATATTTTTTACTTATATAGAGAACATGATCCAGCTGGGAGCAGGGCCCACTAGCAGGAGGAGGCCTGGGTTTACCTCAGTAGCCCATGGGCAGAGTTGACAAGGGAAGGGCCATCAGAAATGAGTTACCATGAGTTAGGATAATTAATTAGGAGGCTTCTAGGCTGAGGTAGCTCCAGAACCTCGGCTTCCTACTAAGCAAACTGAAGTCTAACCCAGAGTGAATGCTCATAACCTGACCAGACAAAACTGGAGCTTAACCAGTCAGGAACCTCTAAGTAGGAACTTTCCACTTTAACCAATCACAACTTCTCTTACTCTTGTTTTCTGAACACCTTATAAAATTTTCCCCAACCCCATCCCCGGCAGAGTCCTGAACTGCTTGCAGTTTGGTGCTGCCTGATTCATGAATCACTGTTTGCTCAGATAAGCTCTTTAAAATTTCAACATGCCTAAGTTTATCTTTCAAAACATGCTTGAAGGAGCAGATAACCACCCAAAAATGAAGCAGAGGTCAAGCTAATTCCAGACCAGAGCACCAGAGCTGACCCAAGGGCTGTGCCAAACAGCAGGCAGGTGGACAAATGAGAGAGAAGGAAGGTGAAAAGAGCCGAGGCCCTAGTAGCCTCCGCGTCAGCGTGACGTAGATCTCAGGTGCCCTGGATTAAAATCTGGGTTCTGCGTGTTATAGTTGGATGACTCCTCCAGGCCTTCTGGATGAAACATTTTCCTAATCAAGCCCCACCCATCTTGCCATCTGCATTTTCAGCAGCTCCTCAGCTCCCAGGCTCGCTGCTGACTCACCCCACCCTGGACGTGCTGGGAGCTCCCCTGTGTCATGCTTTCCTGAGCTGTGTTTTCTGCCTTGGATGCCCATCCCTGAGTTGTCTGTCTGAAAAACACCAACTTTTTTTCTTTTCTTTTTTTACTTTTTTGAGGCCAAGATGAAATACTCATTCCTCTGTTAAACCTGCCCAGCCCTTCCTACCAACTGAGGGACATCCATTCACCCTGCACCGTAGCTGTCCCCTCACATAGTATCGTAAACGTCCAGCAATGAACCAAGGGATGGTCCACTAACTTGTTCAAGATTTTGAGCTCACTCAGTACCTTCTATGTACCAGCCACTGTTTTGGCCATGGGGGACACAAATTCAACAGAACATGCCCTCAGATAGCACACAGTCCCAATGAGTAACATATGGTCACAATGGGGTAGCCAGGGGCACCCCAGGCTATGGTGCCCATCACATCTTACCTCTGCTCAAAGCCTTTTGTGGTTTCCTTTTGCACGTAATACTCGGAGCCCACCCTGCTGGTCTTGTTCACCACCTTTGCCTCCCTTCTCTCCTACCCACCTGCTGTGTCATTTGAACACACCAGCTCCTTTCTGCCCCAGGGCTGATGCATTTGCTATCTCTCTGCCTGGATCATTCCCAGCCCCGGTTCCTTTCTGCCCTTCAGCCTCAGCTTAAATGTCACCTCTTTAAAGAAATCACCTCCCTGAACACCCTATCCAATATTTCCACTGAATTCCTGCTGTCCTCACCTTCTACTCGTGAAAAGTGCCATTATTTGTTTCTCTTCATTTGTTTTCTTGTTTAGTGGTGTCTCTCCCACTCTATTATCAGCTCCAGGGAAGTTTGGTTTCGTTCCTCGGTGCTCTCCCCAGCTCTGGGAGTGGAATAAAATTTGGGGAATGACATTGGGGTCAGACACATCAGGTTTTCTCTTGGCCTCCAACATTTATAGCCCCTGTGACCTTCAGCAAGTTATTTCACTTCTCTTAGGACAGTTTCCTCATCTGACAAATACAGGGAAGAATGCTTGCCTTGTGGGGTCATTCTGAGGACAACTATAACCTTTTTTTTTTT